CTCCGGGGGGCGCTTTGGCGCGTGGGGTTGCGAGTTCGAGCCACACAGGGGGCCGCTTCCCAGTCCCCGGCCTGGCACCTTTGGCGGGGAAGCAAGGCGGGATCAGCGCCTCAGCCGGGCACGGGGTAAGCGAAGGCACCTCCCCAGCGAGCAAACCCCAGCGAGAGGAGAGTTCCCGCCATCACTGCCTGGTGCTGGGGAGGGCTGAGCCTCCCCTCCCCTTCCTGGACATCAAGGCGGGATCAGCGCCTCAGCCGGGCACGGGGTAAGCGAAGGCACCTCCCCAGCGAGCAAACCCCAGCGAGAGGAGAGTTCCCGCCATCACTGCCTGGTGCTGGGGAGGGCTGAGCCTCCCCTCCCCTTCCTGGACATAGGCACTGACTCCCAGGGATGCCCCAGAGCAGCATCAGGGACCCTGCCAAACAGATGTTGGTGGGGGAGGGGACAGTGTAGTGGCCCCAGGAGGAGTGTGAAAAGGGGGAGTGAAGGCCAAGTCTTGGGAGGGTATGGGTAGAGGAGGCAGAGCAAGGGTGGGGCCTTGGAGATGGGGCAGGGCCCTTGGGCAGAGCTGTGGTGAAACATCCCCTCCCCCAGGAAGAAAATAAAAGTTAGCCCCTATGGTCAACCGTGTATAGACTGTTAATCCTGGAACCTAATGGTGCAGATTTATGTGCCACACAGTTTAGCTATTTGGTGGTTGATCAAACCTACATACCATGCACATGAGCGCTTTGAGTGACTGGGTGGAACTTATGCTTGTGGATGGAGTCTGGGTTGGGGGGGGGGAGGTAGAGCCACCACTTTTCTCCCTCCCCCACATCCCATTCCCTGCTTCTCTGTTCCCCCCTGTGGCCAGCAGAGTATCTAGGCAATTTGTTAAGGAAATTGGAGGGTGATTCCTGTCCGTGGGAGATGCTGCTTTGGACTTGGTCCCATTGTGATCTGCTCTATTGTCCTTGCTGGGGCTGCTGACAGCACCAAACTCCTTAAGCAGAGGCAAATTAAAGTTTTGGGGGGCTCTGGTCCAGAGCAAATAGGGGGCCCTTCCCCAAGGTTTTCTGCTTGCAGTCTCACCCCTGCTCTGCCCCTTCTGCCTGAAGACCCACCCACAGCCCCACCCCATCCCCAGAGGGAGTGAACAGCTGGTTTTGTGCAAAAAATCGCAGAGTAGCCATACTACAAGTGCGTTTTTGCGCAAGAAAAAGTCCAGTAGATCGTCAGAAGACGGGGCTTTTTGCGCAGGTGTTATTCCTCTTTCTACAAGGAATAAGTCTTTTTGCGTAAGAGCCACAAAAGGCGTGTGTGGATGGACAACAGGGGATTTGCACAAGAAACCCCTATCGGAAAAAGCACGGGTGCTCTGATGGCCATTCTGTGAATGGCTATCAGAGCTTTCTTGCACAAGAGCATCCGTGGCAGCGTGGACGCTCTCTTGTGCAAAAGCACATGGCAGTGTGGACATGCTCTTACGCAAGAAGCCTGCAGTGTAGACACAGCCTTGGACTTCACAATGGCAAGGAGTTCCACAGGTTGATTGTGCGCTGAGTGAAGAAATACATCCTTTGGTTTGTTTCTGAGATCTCTTTCTTGAGTGGTAACAGCTCATGTAGACCCCATCCTTTTGTACGTAGAGTTGGCCTTATGCTTTCCCGTGTGCGTTACTTTGCGTTTATCAACACTGAATTCCATCTGCCCTGCTGCTGCCTGGCCCCCTAGTTTGGAGAGGTCCCTTTGTAGCTCTTTGCAGGCTACTTTGGACTTAACGATCTTGAGTCGTTTCGAATCAGCTGCAAACGTTGCCAGCTCCCTGTTTGCCCCCTTTCTCCAGATCATTCATGAGTATATTGAACAGCGCGGAGGACACGCCACTAGTTACTTCTCTCCCTTCGGAAAACAGACCATTTATTCCTACCCTTTGTCTCCTGCCTTTTATTCAGTTACTGACCCTGGAGAGGCCTTTCCCTCTTATCTCAAGACAGCGTCTTGTGTATCAGAGCCTTTAGTGACGCCCTCCACTACAGAAAGGATGTGGACCCGTTGGAGAAAGCCCAGCGGAGGGCAATGAAAATGATTCACGGGCTGGAGCACATGACCTATGAAGAGAGGTGGAGGGATTGGGGCTTGTTTAGCCTGCAGAAGAGAAAAGTGAGGGGGGATTCGATAGCAGCCTTCAACTCCCTGCAGGGGTGTTCCAGAGAGGCTGGAGGGAGGCTGTTCTCATTGGGGCAGATGGCAGAAAAAGGAGCAACGGTCTCAAGTTGCAGTGGGGGAGGTCGAGGCTGGATATTAGGAGAAACTATTCCCTTAGGAGGGTGGGGAGGCGCTGGGATGGGTTCCATAGGGAAGTAGTGGAATCTCCGTCCCTAGAGGTTCTAAGTCTCAGCTTGACCAAGCCCGGGCTGGGTTGATTGAGTTGGGTTGGTCCTGCTTTGGGCAAGGGGCTGGACTCGGTGCCTCCTGAGGTCTCTGCCTACCCTAGGTGTCTGTGATTCTATGACCTTGCCTGAGAATTCACCCCTCCTTACACTGCTCTCTTGCTGTTCGGGTCCCAGCCCCCTAGTGCCCCTTAATCTTTACCTCCCGTGCATGCAGCCACTCCACCCTGCCTCTCTGCTGCAAGACACATTCCACTCCTGTGCCGGGGTATTTCTGTGCCTCCCAGCAGGAGGCGCACTGGTTCTGGGGCCTTCCCATGCTGCCTTCCCCCTCCCTGCCCTCAGCAGCTGCCCTCTCTGCACCAGAACTGCCATGGAAACCAGCAGCCAGCAGGGGTCAGTGGGGCTGACTGACACTGGGGTGCAGGGGGCAGGGCCAGGAGCAGTAGGGAGAGGAGTGGCAGGGCCAGGGCTGTTGTTAGGAGCTTCTGACCGGGCATATCAACCGGTGGAGCCTCACAGTCGGAGCTGTAGAGCTGTCCCCTCGTGTTAACCGGCAAAGGAGAGGGGCCGGGTGAGGCAGGGACACAGCCGCTGTCAGCCCACGGTAGGCTGGAGCGTCGGGCACGTGGACTCTATTTCTGGCCCATGTCGCTTTGGCAGGGGTGACAGTAACTTATGTTTCTTATGGGTGCTGCCGTATTGTAACACCCCCCCCCCCGGGGCCCCC